TTTGTATATATATAATTTATTATATTCAAGTATTACCAAGTAAAATTATATTTTCGTTGAATCATATGATGAGATTCGTAATTTTGTCGCTCCTGTAGGATAATAATAATAATCTTAAATCTTAATAAAAATTAATTTGACGTGATGATATAATAAAAACACAAGATCTTAAATATATAAGATCTCTAGAATCTTAACAACTTTTATCAAGAATTCCAACGTTTTAACTTGTCCAACGTTATTACGACAGATGCTGGACGTGAAGGAAAGCAACAGAGGAGGTGTTTTCGTCTGCAGCAGTCCTGGTCCAGATCCTTACACGTCACAGGATCTTTATAATCCTGTCTACGAAGAACTCAGTAACGGTTAGTACAATTATTTATTATTCTTTTATTCCCCTTTTCTTTTTTTTTATTAACTTTTAACTTTAACACATTCGCTAATCAAAATTTCAAAGTATATCGAAAACATTGAAAAATTATATCATTTTAATAAATTATACCACTCATGATAATCTATAGAATATTATTTGAAAATTACAATTATATTAATGAAAATACACAACGAATGTGTTAATACCAATCGGATTTTTTCCTTCCAGTATATTTTATATTAAAAATAAAAACTATATACATATATATACATAGGTAAAAGAAAAAAGAAAAGTAAATCACAGGATAGATAATTAAATTTAATTAGATTTCACTAAAGTATACTTTTCAATATTGAAATATACGATTCGAAAAAAGAAAAATATTAATCATTAAAATAATTGATATTAAAATACATATGAAAGATAATGAAAATCGTTGATTCAAACAATCGTTGAATCATTTTAGATGAGACTAGTCTTTGAAGATATGAAGATTATCGTAAAACATTTATATACAAGGATCCTCCTCGTGATACATATCAAGCAGTATGATAAAACCCATATACAATATTATAGGTATTTCATATTTTAGATTCGTATTTATGATTTCCGTTTGTCAATTGGCTTGTCACGATTACTAACGCAACAAACAACAACTAAACATTGTGAAAAGTTTAACATGGCAGCCCTATCTTTATGAAATTTGCCAATCTAACAATACGTATTTGCAAAAACAATAGTTTTGATTTTTCCAATATTTTTTGTTTAATATAAAAACAAAACTGGTGTGTGTACTTATGATACGCACGTAAAAAATTATACTTCTTTAACGTACCAAAACGAACATAACCTCAATAACCTCAAAAATAACTTCAATTTTCCCGCGCATCGTAAATATCGACAACTTCGTGGTGTCGATTTTTCGGTCACTTTCCAAAACGCGCCAAAAGAAATATAACTTCAAAAATCAACCTCGGATCCTTTATATGTAAAAAAATATGAAAAAAAATAAAAGAGTGATCAAATTAATGAAATAATTTAGGACTGTCGCATAVTCATTGAACCCAATAAGTAAAATTGCATTTACTCCACTTATATGCAAGTATAAGTCCGTGAATTATTTGGAAGGCAATTTGAAAATTTAAAAAAAAACAAAACTGATGTATGTACTTATGTACTTATGTAAGAAGTTATACTTCTTTAGTGTACCAAAACGAATATAACTTCCATAACCTCAAAAATAACTTCAATTATCTCGCGTACCAATACATTTGTCGATAAGACAGTAATATAATAAAATAAAAAATAAAGATATTAACAAAACATTGATAAAAGTTTTAATTAATATGTACAATCTAATTTATATTTATTTACGAATTACTTCATGCCGATGAATTTGAAATCGTTTTTCCCGCGCATCGTAAATATCGACAACAACTTCGTGTATGGTGTCGATTTTTCGGTCGCATCTAACTTCACTTTACAAAATGCGCGCCAAACGAAGTATAACCTCAAAAAAAACCTTAATTATTACACCGATATTCTTTCCTACACTTTATCGTATCGTATCTACAACTATCGTACTTTGAAGATACCGAAGGAAGGAAGGGGGGAGGGGAAGGAGTAGGTAGGTACGGTGTTGGTTGAGATAAACGTGACACGACCTCTGACTTATACTTCCCATTAGTCCGACGTCTAATTAGCATGGTGATGAGCCTTTCGACGTTTGACGAGAGGATACGGTGCTAATCAAATATACATACCCACACGACGTACATTAGTCTTAACCATCAACCCATCTATCTCTTTCTTTCATTCATTCATTCATTCATTCATTCATTCATTTCAACTTACACAGACAGACACAAACAAGTATTTCGCACGTAATCAACTAACCAATACGAAAATAACTTTTAGTCAGATATCAAACCAATGAAGGGAGTAGAAAAGTTTTCAATTTTCGTATCGTGTGAAACTTATCATAATGTTCAATTAAATATTTTCATCATTTTTTAAATAATTATTCTAAATTATTGATAATCAAATAATTATAATAAATATACAAGTATACAAATCAAATTGTTTTCGAATGAATTGAGAAAAATATAATCGGTACGAATGTTTAACAGTTTCTGTGTTAACTAAAAAAAAAAAAAAAAAACAGAACTTTTCTCGTCATCTTTATGATAACCAACCATATAACACACGAAAGAAAAGTCGTGTAACTCTTGTTGGATTATAATCTAACGGTAGACGTAGAAATATTCGAAACAACGTTGTAACTGTATCTCTCCTCAACAACTATGAACAACTATACTTTCATTAACAATGGACAAGTATCGTGCGTAAAATGCAAACTCGCATAACGTTGTTCACCCGTGTAAATAATGCACTAGAATAAGAGTAAGCTTTGCGTAGTAGTAGATTTGGAATGACGGTAACGTGCCTCGTAAAAAACCAGAAATAGAAAGAGAAAGAGAATGGGGGTGAGTGAGAAAGGGGAGGGGGTGGATAAAAGGGTGCTAACCTCGGGGAACTTCAGGGATGAGGGGCTGAGGGGGGTGGAGGTTTGTTGATACAGCTGACTTGTTAAAAAGAAAAAAGGAAAAATCGGTGGCAGGGTGGGAGGAGATAAAACAACAACAACAACAAAAAGAATAGGTAACACGAAAACGAAGGGATGGAGGTGGCAGAGTTGTGGGAGTGGAAAAAAACAAAACCAAAATAAAGGAAAAAAGAAAAAAAAGAATACAAAAAAAAAAGGGTTTCTCTCCTACACGTCGTGAAACAACAACGACGGTACCGGACGTCATTCGTTTCGTTACCTGTACATTCCTCTTTGCGGACGACAATGGCGGCCGCAACGGTAGAAGAGTCCCCCCCCCACTCCCTCCCATCTCCACCCACCAGCCCACTACCACCCCGTCCGTCCACCAGTCTCCTCGTACATCGCTGCCGGCGAAATTTCCAGCCAAAAATTTACTGCTACCATCACCACCACTACACACAAACATCCATTCCACCCCATCCCACCCCACACACACCCTTTGTAACACCCACGCGTAACTTTCCCTTCTCTGTTCGGTGCCCTATGGAATTTGTTTGCCTTCAAAACGTCCGAATCCTACTCAATTTAGTTTGTACAAACGAATAATAAGGGTTGAAACATCGGTTTTCTAATATGGGTTTATATTCATATAAATATATTATTCGATTTTATTTAGTTGTTGTATAAAAATAATTGTTTGATGTAATTGAACTTATAACAATTAGAAATGTTTTAGAGAAATTATTGTGTTATACTATTTAATTAATTATTTCATAAAATAAATGATTATTTTCTATCAATTGAAATATTTTTCACACGTTTTAATAGTAACTTGTATATGTGTTAACGTGAAGGATCGAAATTGGAGAATCTTAAAATTCACGCGTATCAAATAAATGGTGAAAAAAATCGAATATTTAGATTTATTATTATAAATATTTCAATGTTTCTGCGTAGTGATGATTTCGAGGGTAATATTATCCTGTAATATAAGTAGAGTGTATTAAAATATTCAAACAATTGTTAATTAATCTATGCAAGTGTCTATTGTTGTTAAAAAGTTCGGAGTATATGTTCTGTCAACCGTCTTCCTTGAAATTCACCTTGAGACTGGCACTGTCTCTTCTATGAAAATTCTTTTATTAAAACTTGTTTATATGACTTTCCGAACATTGCGCATGTGTATAAAATCAATAATTCACCTAATCAATGAAATTTAAGATTATAACGTTTTAATTTAAGCATTTTTTATCATTTTTATGTAATACATTTATATTTTGAACATACACCAAGCGACTATGTGAATCTTGACTTTCTCCAATTTCGGTCATTCATTATTAACATATATATAGTTTCGAATAAAATAATCAAATCGTTAAAATATCAAACGACGATAAATAATAGTCGAGGTTTGCTTACGTAAGAACTCGGAAATAGAATCAAATTGATCGTTTCTATTTTTTAACGTTAACTTAAATTTAACAAATGTGATAGAAAACTTCGATAGAGTAACTTTACTGTTCTAGTTGATAAAAAAAAAAAAGCACTTACTGAAATAAACGAAATAAATGAATTAAACGAAATATATATACACGTTATAATAATAAATACTATTGCATCGGCAAATAATAAATCCGACTAATATAAAAAGAAAATTTAGGAAGCATGCTTGTTTTTGCATTAATCGAATACAATAACTTCTATCCGTTTTAATCTATCATCAACTAGTTCCCAATTTTCCATCGGTACTGTCAACAAAATAAATAAAACAATCAAATTAACCCCTTCCCATACCATTTACCTCAACAAAACTCAAACCCATAAGGATAAAATTGCATTAGGGGTTTTTACTTTTGCATCAGTGTTCCGTTAGAATTGCATCTGAATTTACTGACTATATTCATCACGAGACAGACTCGTTGAAGTACAGGAATGAATTAATTCGAGATATAAAAATGAAAAACGTAAATATAATATAAAATAAAATAATTTTAATACGAAAATAAGTGTGTTATTAATTAAAATGATTAATAACTTATTAATTTAATAATTAATTTATGGTTATAAATTTTAATACAATATTAATTAATAAATTATTAATTTCTTTTTTCTTTTTTGGGGGGTGTTATTTTCAATTTGTTAATACAGGGGACCACCCGGAAACGGATGAGGAAAGCGAATTGAACGCGCGTAATCGTTTGAATAATCATCATCATCATCATCATTGTCATCATCGTCGTACGTCTACATCAAAAGCAGGTAGCGAGGATGAGTTTGCTGAGGATGAATTATCGGTTGGTGAACCTTCCGAAGCTAGAATGCTTACATCTAATGGTCCCGCGTGGGGCACGTGTCCTGCCGGCAACAGACAGCCAAGGGAACGAAGGGGTAGAAGCCCTAGGAGTCTGGATCGACGCAAGAGAGACAAAAGTCACGACGTTGGCGAATTCCACGAGGGGATGATCCTCGACGCTTTGCTTCAACTTTATCCTAGCGTGGCAGGTACGTTAACGTTTCATTTCATTCCCATTACCATAGTTACCTGTCAAATCCTATTCTCGGTTTAGGTATTTATCATTAAATGGTTTTCCTTTAGAATAGTAATAATAACTTGTATAATATAATAAACGAATATTTCTTTTTAAATCTATCATATTTATAATTGATTATTAAAAATAAAAGATTATAGTTGATATTAAATATTCTTAATGACTTTGTTTCTAAAAAGATAGAGATTTCCGTGGAAATTTCTATGAATATCTGTCTAACTAATGTCTAGAAAATATAGCCTGAACTTTTCCAAATCGATTTATAACTTGATAAGGTATTTTACACGTAGGAAAAAGGGTGAACTATAATTTAATATAGGAGCTATTAAAATCTATTCACTCTCTTAGTATAATTTACAAATACTTTTCAAAGAAATATCAGAGATTGCAATACTGTAAATTATACAACTTTGCTATTTCTTTGAAAAGTTTCAACAAATATTTTTTACACTTAAAGTATAAATAGATTTTAATGAAACTTATATTAAATTAAAGTACACTCTTTTATCTACGCGTAGAATACTTTGTCGAATTAAAAATTTATCTGCAAAGGTTCATAAAATGTCAGAGAAGGCAATGCTGTAAATTGTGCATCATTGCAATTTCTTTGATAAGTTTTGGTAATATATTTTTTATACTAAAAGTGAATAGATTTTAATGATTTTTATATTAAATTAAAGTACACTCTTTTGTCTACGCGTAGAATACCATATCGAGTTATAAATTTAGCATGTAAAGTTCTGAAATGTTAGAGATTGCAATACTGTAAATTGTACAACTTTGCTATTTCTTTGAAAAGTTTCGGCAAATATTTTTTACACTTTAAGTTAATAGATTTTAATTTCTATGTAATACCCTATTTAATTAAATTACACTTCAAACAAAATAGGAAACAAAATTCTAAGATATCATTTCGCGCGTGTAATTTAATTATAATATTTTAATACTTTATACATTCCCATATAATAATCAAAATATATGATTGAATATTAGATTAAATCTAACAAAGCCTAATTCTATCAACAGTTTAGTAAATATACTAAACCAATTTATTCTAAATTTTGCTTATTAACCCTTTACGATTATCTAACAATGATTTTATTTTCTAGGTGTAGCTGGAAGCAGAACGAATAATAGTCAACGACAACAACAATCCGTCCCATCGGTTGCACATAGACTACCATATTTTGTGCCGCCAATGCCAGCAACTCAAGCCCTAAGATTAGAAGAAAACCCATACGAAAGTGTGCCCGTTCTCGGGCCGTTACATCGTTATTCTAATCAAACAAGAAGTAATAAAGAAAGATTGAGAAAATCTAATGAAAAATACAAGTACATGAGTACTAATCGTGACGGTAGTGTTGGTAGTGGTGTTGGTAGTGGTGTTGGTAGTGGTGTTGGTGGTATTACTGTGGCTAATAATACTGGTAGTAATAATGGTGGTAATAATACTGGCAACAATCAATACAATACCGATTATTATGGTATACAAAATCAACAAGAAACTACACCGGTTTACACACAAGTTGGCGGTGACAATTATTCATCGGACACTTATTCTCAACCAACTGATAGACTTTATATTAACAACGATGACAACAAGTATACGCAACCGGTTTATTATACTCCTAGGGATAACGATCAAATATCATCCGGAAGATTATATCAAGGCCAACCGGATAGCAGTTTTGGTAGCGACAGTGGTTATAGTCATCACACATCCGGTACAACAGGAACCAGTGGTACACGTGGTAGCAATTCAAGAACCAATCATAGAAAAGATAAACATCGGAATTCACATCATTCTCATCATTCAACTGATTATATCGTTTCTTAATGAATCAATCAATCAATCAATTAATTAATTAATTAATTAATTACTCGAGAACGATTATAAGAGAATATTTTCATTCAGGGTTTTTTTTATTTAGGATTACAAGAGGAGGAGGGGGAAAGGGGGAAATCGTATTTCTTTTTTTTTTCTTCCACTCCCCCTCTTTTTCTATTCTTTTCGAACATTAATTGACGCGGATCGGATGTAAATTGTAATATTATTATTATTATTATTTTCGTGTTGATACATTGTTTTTATTTTATTTGTTATAAAGAGAAAAAGAGAGAAAGAGAAAGAGAGATCCAATAATTTTGGACTCTTTTACTTTTTTTTTTTTTTTGTTATCTCATTGTTCCTTCGAATAGGTTAATATAAAACGCCGTTTAGATTTTTACGTATTACGCGATTAAGTTATATTGTACAAAACGGCCGTGTTGTGTATTGTTTGACTTTTAATTTTTTTTTTTTTTTGTTCTTGTTCGTAAGGATCGATTTAAAAAGTAATTAACTTTATTGATTTAATTCACGCGATAATATTGAAAATAGAAATAAATACAGTGATCATTTAGTATAGTTATATATATACACACACACCATACACACCACATACACACAATTGCATAAATTAGCTCTTATATAAACTATTTAATATATTAAATTATTTGCAAATTAGTACTCAGGCTAGTACCAAAGCACGCTGTGTTTAGAAACATTGCGTTAATCCTTTTCTATTCTTCTATATTTCCTTACTCGAGAATAACTCGTTTGTATAAGTCATTTCAATAAATAAAAATAAATGAATAAAAAAAAGAAAAAAAAAAAAAGAAACAACAACGACGACGACGACGATCAAACCATGGCTGGATGGGAGACTGGGGAGAGTGGGGGTGGGGGTGGTAATCGTGGTGGTTGCAAGGCTGAAAAGAAAATATTTAAAATAAAAAAAACAAACATTTTTAATTAACAAAACGTATTATACGTATTGTAACTTGCAACCACTAATATAATTTTATTTCCAATTTGTCAAATTCGATTTTAAAAAAGGTATTAATATTTAATTAATAAATTATAATAATAATAATAATAATAATAATTAGATGCAACGTTACATTGACAATTAATTTCGACGAATATATTGTTGTTGTTGTTGTTTTTTCTTCACTTTTTTTTTTTTTTCTTTGCGGATTGTTGCGTTTGCGTTTAATTATCACACTAAAATAATAATAACCTGGAATAATAAAAAAAAAGTAAAACGAAAGAAGAAAATTAATAGATTTAGACGACATCCACTGCCGTACACGATCGTATTAATAATAAAAATCTACGAAAACGTATATAATAATTAATAATTATTATTATTATTATAATAAGTGTGTCAGACAGATTAGGCACGTTTTTTTCGTACAAATGATTACGCGAAAGGAAGGTGTGTTGTTACATACATACACACACATTCACACACATAACTATCCTTCCGTGTTTTATTCATACAATGGTTTTGAACAAAACCAATCCTAACAGCCTCCCCCTCCCTCCCTCCTACTCCACCCACCACCCCCCACCCCTATTTTTCCCCGTTTGATATCACAATCTCGCATATAACTTTAGAATATCTTTTTAGAAAATGCTTCGTATGAATCTATCACGTTTGTTAGTATAATGTCAGTTTTAAAAATATCAGAAAAAAAATACTAATAATAATAATAATAATAATAATAATAAATAATAAATAATAATAATAATAATAAATAAATAAATAAATAATAAACACACTGCCCGTACATATACCTCCGTCTAAATGAATAAAACGATTTGACGAAGCAATTAAAATTGTACTTCGTATTTTTCTTAAAAAACACCCCCGTTAATTGAAAACACACGAAAAAGGGGACATACAGGTGAAGAAGAAGAAGAAGAAGAAGAAGAAGAAGAAGAAGAAGAAGAAGAAGAATGTGTAAAAGTACGATGTGAGAAAAAGAAAGAAAAACAATGTAACAATTGTTCAACTCGTATTTTCACGCGTTGTTGTTACATCGTTAATAATAATAATAATTAATTAATTAATTAATTAATAATCGAAGATTGTTTATTGAGAGAATAAATAAAAAAAGAAAGAAAGAACATAAATGAAAAAGATCAAACGCGTAATATTAATTAGATTTACATTTTACGAACAATAGTTTAAACGTAAGCCGAAAAAAATCCTTCTGATATGAAAAAAAGAAAAAGAAAAAAAGGGTTCATACCACGTATACATAAATACCTAAACATACATACATTTATACATACATACATAAATACCAATCGTATTACAATAAAACAAGTATAAAAGTAATAAACTCGGAAACGCTGAACATTGTAAATAATTAATTGGAAAAGAAGGAGAGAAGAAGAAGAAAAAGGGAAAGAAAAAAAAAATGAAACAAAAAAAAATATATATAGGCTATAAAAAGAGTGGGATAGAGAGTGGCAAATAACGTAATAATTAATTCTATCCCCCATCACATTATAGCACACACACACACACACACATACACATAATATAAATACATAGTTTTTACCATATCGTTATCGAAACATTCATAACAATTTTCGCGTGAATGTGTGTGTGCTAAGTTTATCTGGAATTGGGCGAATTTGTTTAAATTTCAAAACAGACAAAAAATAACACAGAGAGAGAGAGAGAGAGAGAGAGAATCATTTAATTTAATATAAAATAATGCAACATATAATTTATATATATATACATATATATAAATAAAAT